TATATATATATATATATATATATATATATATATATATATATATAATTAAAACGGAACAGTAGAGAAAATCCGATCAGAATGACAAAATAAACAACTAAGTATCCACTGGAAGGAATCCCAATATCTGCAGACGGATCCGATTCGGCCTTCCAGGACTCATCAGTGCAGCTGGGGTATAGACCCAAAAGAAACGTTTGACCAGCTTAGGAAGGGCCCAAACCAGTCCCACTACCACTAATGATTACAGAGCCAAACCTTTAAAATTTATATATATATATATATATATATATATATATAAATATATATATATATATAGTTCTTTAATGCTTTAATTTATATACTCCAATCTGTCCAGAACTAAGTACTGTAGCTGGCTGTTGCATTAATAAGAAAGACGGGCCCATGTTGTTCAATATAAGATTGATATACTGAGATCTGTTAATGTTGCAGAGAGTACAACAGAAATAGTTTCTATAATTCCAGGGGTCCAACTAAAGCACCAAACACATTTATAAGTCTATGGAACGGACTCAAACATTAAAATTTAAGTCGTCTATTCTTTTAAAGTTGCTTTAAAGAAATATCATGCTAATGGATTTACTATTACACAGTAGGTATAAAATACTAATAATTTGAAATAATTGTTTTTATTAGGTTATCAAACAACCTTTTTAAATTTTTTTTTTCTTTCTTTTTTTTTTTCTTTATTTCTTTTTTTTTTTAAATTGTTTCTTTCGCTATGCTATCGACATTGCTTTTTCTCTGGGACTTTATGAATGCTTTAAAGAAATATCGTGCTAATGGAATAACTATTATTAGGTTATCAAACAACCTTTTTAAAATCATTTTTTTCTTTTTTTTTTGTGGTTAAATTGAAATTGTTTCTTTCGCTTTATGCTATCTACATTGCTTTTGCTCTGGGACTTTATGAATGCAATGCCAAAAACATCCCCAAATCCGATTAATCGGTTATTTATCTTCATACTCAAATTGACAGTGGTTTACATCATAATAATAATACCTTAAAGCTTGTTAAAAAGCAAACCAATGAACACATTCTAAAGTTGGTTTTACAATTATAATATTGTTCGATTCAAGCAATTAAAATACTGTACTTGTGGGACTGCATTCCTTAATAAAAGAAAAACTTTTTTCGCTCATTTTATCTTGAATATTTAAGCATACAAATTTGTTCATAGACAAAATTTGATAGTGCTGTGGTGAATTGGCCGTATTCGACTGGTTCGTTTCGTTAACAACGATTTTTCGTTGAGTATTAGGCCTACTTTCATTCGCCTGTTTTGTAAAATTGAAATCATTGAAGACAGAAATTAAAGTAAACCAGAGTGCGTTAATTTGCAATAAGTTATCCACGTGACCAAAACAAACATGGCCGATTGGTTAGTTTAGCAAGAACATTTTTGCGTTAATAAAATCTAGATTAAATTTCAAAAACTAATAATTTTTAAATATTTCCCACATAAAATTTAAAAAAAAATAGTTGTAGGCTAATAGAATTTAAAAAGCTGCATGACGTACGGTATTAAAAGCAAACCCGTACTGTCACAAGCCGAAAAGCAACATTGAGTACGCTAGCGTGCATTGTGGTCATTTTTTTCTTCTTTACCAGTTTTTTTTACCAGTTTTTGTGTCTATGCCCCCTTGGGGGGCAAAGACACTATGTTGTCATCTGGCAGTTAAAGATGGCCGAGGGGTAAATCCAGTGGAGGTGCATTATCGGTCGTGAGTCATCTTAATTACCTTATTACTCTACAAAAATCGTAAAAATATACAACACCACACATAATACAGTAAGGCAGTAAAAGCCATAGACACACGCTCCCGCCGGGAGCCTATATTTGAGACAGTGTGTGGCAAAATGGCTAAGTTGTAGCAAAAATTGAAAAAAAAGTCTTCGTTAAGTAGGATTTTACTACTGCGCAGGTAGGCGTTGTTTAACGAACAGCGACCTGTCGAATACGGCCATTGAAACAGGCATTTCATAGAACCCCGAAAGTCATTAGCCTCCTCCCAGCACACCCATGTAACTATCTATCTCCTGGGCGCATCAGACCTTTGCGACCCTGTCGTAATTGCCTGCGCTATGTCTTAATCTTCTGCTAATATTTTAAAAGTTCCGCATAATATTTAGGAGACCTACTTTTAAAAAAAATAATTGTCGAAAGGGGAGTTTAATACTCTGTATAGACATTAATGAGAAATTTAATATAGAAAGTTAGGCTTGTGACTTTTGTGCTGGTGCGTTTGCGTTAAGACTAATAATCGACTGTTAAATAGCACTTCTTGAGTAGGCCCTATGTCTCGAAACGCATCTAATTTTCTCTAGTAAGAGTGTAGTAGTGAACTTAACAAGGCGTTGTGCCCGAGAGACATGATTTGGCTGTGTAGTGATGTAGTGCGCTTAACTATGGCATGAATGTTACTTTTTAAAGGCATACCGTGACCATGAATTGATTTATGTTATGTATGAGACAGAATGTTGGTCCATGTTTTATTTTTTAGTTTTTGTTCTTAATCTCATTATGTTTATGTTACTAGCTCTTGTTTAGTACATAATACTGAAGTATATGCGCTTATGCCAGCCTGGTCATTGGATATAGGATAAATCAAACACAACGTGCAACCTCTACTGTTCCAAATGAGTATTTCTATCCGTGCATGTAATTTGATCATAAATCAACCTAACCTATTATATATCATTGTCTATCCAATAAACTTTAAACATTTAAAAAAAATTTCGTTACAGCATTGAAGTTCAACATCGATGTAAACTTATTACCGAACGTAATGAGAATTTCTCCAGATGGGAAGTTCCTGAGCACCGTTGAAAGAATATCACCGAGTACTCAAGGAACCTCGTATGCCGTAGGAAATGTTTCTTTAATGAATGGTGTCCAGTATTGGGAGGCTAGTCTACATCGTCTACGACAAAGTAGCAATGACAAATCAAACGAGCGTTTAACATCAAACGCCCCGGCCATTGTGGCATCTGTTGGGGTAGTAGCGTCGAGCTCGAACCGATCATCAGCCCTCGGAATGGACAATTCCTCGTGGGCACTAGAAGCTACAGACGATGGGCATTTCCGCTGGTTCGTCACCAGGGCAGCGCATACGCAACTCAGCCATGCCAGCTCTCATGTTGGAATCATGGTAAATTATTCGAAAGGATGTTTGATGTTTTTTGATCAGAAAACCAAGAGTCCTCTGATGAAGACCCCTCTGAACCAGAACGTACATCTTATCCCCGGTTTTGCAGTTTACAGCCCATTGTGGCAAATGAAGATTATCACCGGGTTACAATTACCAGAGAGTACCTTGTCGAATATTAAGATTTGAGGTTGAAATAAGTTTATCGATTTTTGATGGCATATAAACAAGTTTATTTAATAAAGCAAATAGTTTAACATTTACAAGGCCTTTCCTAGCCAAACAGTTGTGGCGGGGGAGTAAAGTCTCTCGTCTGAGCAATTTAAGTGCGCATTACCTCTCGGTCTATGAAAGCGAAATACGGTACCAATATATTTTTACACCCTCAGCAAATAATATATAATCAATTTCTTTGGAAAATGAAAAGTGGGTGTGATAGCCTTCAATGTACTTTTTAATAGCCTGTGTGCTTTCCCATGTGACTATCCCCGACAATGACAGCCGCCCCCGGCAATGTTTTATTGCAAACTACAGTGTATCAACAAATTGGTAGCCGTACCCATTAGTGCAATGGGTGCGTACGCCTACCTCCCTTTCATTGAAACTGATTCTCATCTGATGCAAAATAAAGTCATTAAAAAAAAAATACACGGAAGAACAAAATAAGAAAAACACGGACAACAACAAATAATTATTGGTCAAAAATTAATTTTTAATCAATCCTCTTCAAAACGTCTGTAAACATTAGTACTAACATGTAGGCATCGCCCTTAGCACAGGCCCGTATTTAGGAATTTCAATGGGTTGGGGGGGGGGGGGTTCGGCTTGAGACTATGCGGAACTCCTTATCAAAAATCAAAACCCACATACTTCTTCTTCTCTCCCCTAAATGGGGACTTTATTCAGTGTGATAGGCCT